AGACATATTAATAAATGTTGAAATTAACAATTTAGTTAATAAATGCTACTCTGTAAAAAAATATTGATGGTTAAACTTAAAAAAGTAGGAGATTAATTTAACCATCAGAAACTCAAAATTATATGTTATCTGAACTAAATAAATTATTTAAGTTGATTTGACAAAAGAAAAAATGTGATTACTACACTGTAAAAAAATATTGTTGGTTTAACCTTAAAAAAGTAAGTAACATGGGTTGCCTTAAAATTTTAAGTTGATTGAACTGGAAAAAGTGAGTTAATACAATGAAGGAGATTAATTTAACCATCAGAAACTCAAAATAATAAGTTATCTCAACTAAATAAATTATTATAAAGCTGATTTGACAAAAGAAAATATGTTGTGATAACAAATCTTGAAAATATTTTTGATATAATCTTAACAAATGGATTCTTATTGTAAACTGTTACCGATAATCTTATTCAATTGCTAAATAACTTTGCAAAGATTATTAATCTCCATCTTTCAACACTTGCTTCTCATGATCCATTAATTCCCACCATATTCCTCATTTCACCCGTAAATACGTCCCAGTAAGAATGCAAAATGGTGCCTTCATGTTGGTCATTTTTTAGTTCTTATACTTTGTAATATTTGAGAAACGTTTCTATTGAATTTACACCTGTGTTATTGCATCAAACCTGCCAGTAAATATCTGTCTATCGCTCTGCTTATATCAGGACGTCTCCGCTGTGCTTAAAGACATTGCTTTTCATTGCCTGTGAAGCAGAGGTCTGGTGTGTCAGCTTCATTCATCACCTTTATGTGTTTTCTGCTGTGATGAAGAACTCGACGGCATGAAAACAAGGATTAGTGTTTCTGTACACCCTATGGGTTCATGACTCAGTTTTATGCCAAAAATAAGGAGTTATGTCTCAAAAAGGCCATATAAGGTCCTTAAATCTTGATTCAGGCTCTACTAGAACAGGTTTACCTGCTTGATTGTTGATTATTCTCCTCATATTCTCCATTGTTGCGGCTCCTCTCTTCCCAGTCTGTCAGTAATGCTCTGCTGCTTTCTCCATGAAGCCCCTCCTTCTGAAAAGCACACTGTGCTCTGATTGGTCGGCTGGATCAGTGTGTCAAGCGCTTTGAGAGTGTGCGTGAAATGCCCCGCCCCTTTCCATAACCGCCAGTTTAACACACTACTGACTAACTCAACCAGGCCCCGCCCCTTTATTCTGCATATATTAATTATTTAAATGAGGAATATTGTAACTCAAGACTACAATGGAGGCGTTTCAGGAGTTCAGAAACACTGACACTGACACTGAACTGCTATTCACATTCATCTTATCGCTCTATACTCTTGTTGTGTGACTCATTATGTTTATATTTTAAGGAGAAACACCCGAGACAACACCGACCGATCCTGCATGAGAAGAGCTCCATTAGAGACGCACGGGCCTTATACTCTTCTGTTCAGAAGAGGCGAGATCTGATCCAGACGGGTATGTAAATAAGCAGATGTTGAAAGCCCCAGAGAGAGATTAATGACGTCCATTAACAGATTAATTAATGCATGAGCTGGTGATTAAACAGCGGCCAGCGAAATCACCGCCTTTAACTGAAATAAACACTCAAATTCAGAGAGAGACCGAATAAGAGAGACGACTCAGGTTAAACAGCAGAATTATTCCAAGACTCAAAATGAAGACAAATTAGTTCTGAATATGTTTTTTATGTGGTTACTGGAGCTGAACTTGATGTTTATGGCCTTTTTTATCACAATGCAGCTCTCTAATGTTTATGTAAATGCTGTTTTTATAGAGTGACAATAAAGTGATATAAAACACTCATGTTTTTTTGTGATAAATGTTGGTATCGTGGAATATTAACTCATTTCTGTTTGTCCTCTAATACGGTACGCAGCATGTAGCCCGTACTGTGCATGGTGTGTGAATTTTCTGTATGCATGGAGTATCTACTTTAATCTGCTAATTTGTCATTCAATTTTCGGATGAATGTTACTTCCAAGCACATTGCATTGCAGTATTCAATATTTCAATTTTGCAATACTGCGATTTCTGACTGTATATGTCACAAATTGCTCTGAAACACGGGTTGATCCAAACGCAGCTTTTATTAGGGTAACCAGAGGACACTTACAGGACTTATCCAAGAATGAGTGCAAACACAGGGCTTAAATAGGCATGGACAGGATAATGAGAAACAGGTGTAAGTAATCAACCACAAGTCCAGGAAATAGATTATGGGAAATGTAGGACTAGGGAGGAGTGCCCTCTGGTGGAGATTGCGGATGTGACTATACTACACGTTTTAGCTTTGACTTATCCTTCTATTTCCATTGTGATTAATTAACCTAAAAAACATTTATGCATTGGATTTTTTTTTTAATTAATAAACCATATTTATTTCTGTGATAATTAAACACCACTTGCTGCTCAACCATGTGACTTTGAAATATTGATTGTTGCATTACTGTGTGTGTAAGTGAGAGTGAGAGTGTGTGTGGTGGATACCTATGCCAGGATTAAAGTTTACAGGCCTTGAGTCAGCATTTCTCTCCACTGCAACACTGAATTTATAGTCTCAGATCCACACTGGAGCTAAAACCCTCATTTCTGTAAGTGCAAACGATATTAATAAGTAATTTTACAGTTTTCTCTCAAGCAATGTTAGATGTTCTTCATGTAAAAGTCCTTCAGATCTGAGGGTTCAGTGAGTTAATGCTCACTCTAAATATGGACTCCATTAACCTCATTATGTTTTTCACGGGTGATGTACAGATCTGTTCATGGCTCTAAGAGCAATTCCCAATGTATCTAAATTATACAACGACTTTCAGAGGGTCAACATTATCATTTCTATTAGCCAAATTTGGGGCGTGATTGGTCAAGGTTTGTTTTGCCCACGCCTGCACAGTTAACCAAACGTCAACATCAAAATAATTTTTGTCTTTCGTGTCATATCATATATAAACAAAAAATTACTTGTTTTGCCAATGTATTGTCCAATAGGCTTCCGATTGTGACCGAAACTGCTCCAGTTTCCTAAATAAACACCACTAAATATCTGTAGCGAGGGAATACCGGCGCTATTCTTGAAGCAGATCAACGTACATTTTCACGCTTAGAGACGCTGATGATCATAGTGACACAGACTCAGGTGATTCACTCTTAATCTCTTTCTGTCTCTAACACCATGTCCTAACTACACGCGACGCGATAAAATTCCAGCGGCAGCTTTGTGTCTGTCCACACTAGACGCGACGCGACGCGACTGTGAGACACCACACGTCAATCAAAAATCACAGCCACTTAGAACAGCGTGTGGGCGGAGTCTCTCTGTGAAAGCGCACTGCTGGCCCGCACTCGCTTTGGAAATGGGTAAGGACATAATCAACAAATCAAGAAATAACATTATTAAAAATCAAAACATACTCATTGACTAATTTTGTGATGAAGAACAGTTGTATGTTTGCATAGAATTCATTTTGATTCATAGGCCTATGCTTTCAAAATCTGAGGTAAATTATCTGTCATCGCTTGTGTTACAGTGACCTATTTTTAACTAAAAATAAACAATGTGTACTCATAACCAGTGTAATTTCTTCATTCTGTCAGCTGCGACGTCACGTATTTCTCGCGTTAATTATGTCACGCGTATTTTACGCATATTTTACGTGTATTTCACGCGTATTTTAAAAAAATAAAATACGCGTTAAAATTCGCGTGTATTTGGCCCTAAAGGCTTTCCATAGCAGAGTCTCTCTGTGAAAGCGCACTGCTGGCCCGCACCTTTTTTACAGTCTATGGCCCGCACTCGCTTTGGAAATGGTAAGGACATAATCAACAAATCAAGAAATAACATTATTAAAAATCAAAACATTAAACAAAATATACTCATTGACTAATTTTGTGATGAAGAACAGTTGTATGTTTGCATAGAATTCATTTTGAACGCTATATTATATGCTTTCAAAATCTGAGGTAAATTATCCGTTATCGCTTGTGTTACAGTGACCTATTTTTAACTAAAAATAAATAACGTGTACTCATAACAAGTGTAGGAACCGTTTCTAAATTAAAAATTTTGCGTGTCGCTGTCGCGTCTGGTTAGGACAAAACATGGAAAAGATACCTTTTATCGAGTGTCGCGGCATCGCGTGTAGTCAGGACACGGTGTGAGTCTGCTCTCAAGCTTACGTTACAAACTCTAATTTAACATTTTGTAATTAGCAACAAATTAGCAATGGAGGCGTGGAATGAGATGCGTAAGAAATTAGTCCAACACATAAGCGTTTTAAATTAAAAAAAAAAAAGTAACAAATGTCTTGAAATACATCATCTATGGTAACCATATTGCTAAATAACTGATCTGGCCCTGTTGAATTATTGGAAAATTCAATGGGTGAATAATTCAACGGCCCATCCCGTCATCAATAGTTCCTTACTTATTTGCTACTTTACGCTTATTAAACCAGATTATTTGTCAAAACCATTTTCATAGTGCGCTGTAGCTAGCCTATATGGCTGCTATTAAAAATAAAGTTCCTAAAATGGGGGTTTGCGTAGAATAATGACTTTTGGTTTCTGAAGAACCTTTCAGTGACATTTACAGTGATTTTTTATTTATTTTTTTATTTTTTTACAAAGAACCTTTTGTTTAATGTAATTTAATGTTAAATGTTCTTCATGGAAGTTGGATCCATAGACTCCAATAAAGAACCTTGTCTAATGCGAAAATATTTAGCTAATCTAAAATGCAATAGAAACCTAAAATGATTTGTTAACACAGTCATGATGATATATTGACGTATTCTCCCATGAGCTCTATTCAGCTGATGCTTTCTCTCTCTCTCTCTCTCTCTCTCTCTCTCTCTCTCTCTCTCTCTCTCTCTCTCTCTCTCTCTCTCTCTCTCTCTCTGGTTCGGGAGGGGGGTTTGTGAGCGATCCTCTCCTCTTTTTCTTCAACACCCCTTTGTTTCTGATCTCCAGTAGACGGAGGAGGCGCGAGACCGACGTCAGTGTGCGCGTGCTCGTGCTCGTCCGCGGATCTGCCCGGTCCTTGTCATCATTTTTTTAACGGTTCAAGAGCGTTCACAGCTTCATTGGGGGACTTCAATTCATTCGCTGTGACTGAAGTTCCTGCAGACTCGGATGAGGAGGTAGACCGGTTCTGCTCAGCTGATCTTCCTGCGTTCAGCCGGTGAGGTCTCGTGACAACTTTAACAACTCCAGGTAAGAGGACACACACTTCATATCATATCATAATCTCACATTACTCGCGTGCTAAATCATGATCGCATTAATCGGGTCCTTGAATCGCTATCGTATTAGGCTACTCGCGGGGTTAGACATGGGGGCTTTGGTGGATGTCTGATTTCAAATCCTGTCTGTAATCTCTGCCAGGCGTGCTGTAATTCTGCTTGCATGATTTGATGTGTGAATGTGGAAATCTGGTTCTGCACACACATCTGTTCATGTCTAATGAATGTCAGTGCAGCCTTTGTGTCACAAGAAACTCTTAAATGATGTGCACAGAAGAACCCTATTTACATTTTGCATTCAGCAGATGCTTGCCTTGCATTTAAAAAAATGCATTTTATCATATGAGATCTCTAAGTTACTTTGGATAAAAGTGACTCCTAAATGCATGAATGCAAATGTAGTGGAAAAGGATATAGCACAATACAGTAAAAGTTATTAGAAATGTCCAAATCGCACATTTGCATTGCAAGTCGTCACACATGTTTAAAATCAAGTGATGCAGCCTACAAATACCTAAAATGTTTAATTCAAGTCATGAATGTGTTTCGATACAGCAGTGAAAAGTGAACTAGGAAATGCATGAATGCAAATGTTTTAGTAAAGGATAGAGCAGTGCAGTAAAAGTTTTAAGAAATGTCCAAATCGCACATTTGCATTGCAAGTCGCATGCTTCCCTTTGCAATGTTTAATTCAAGTAATGCATGTTTGTGATACAGCAGTGAAAAGTGATTTACTAAATGCATGAATGCAAATGTAGCTAGTAAAATAGATTAGCAATGCAGAAAAGGAGTACAGTAAAAGTTTTATTTGCATTGCAAGTCGCATGCTTGCCTTTGTAATGTTTAATTCAAGTAATGAATGTTTTGTGATACAACGGTGAAAAATGAACTATTAAATGCATGAATGCAAATGTAGTAAAATAGATTAGCAATGATATCACAATACAGTAAAAGTTATTAGAAATGTCCTAATCGCACATTTGCATTGCAAGTCGTCACAGGGATGTGCATGTACATGTTTAAAATCAAGTGATGCAGCATACAAATACCTAAAATGTTTATTCAAGTCATGAATGTGTGTTGATACAAAGTGAACTAGGAAATGCATGAATGCAAATGTATTAGTAAAGAATAGAGCAGTGCAGTAAAAGTTTTAAGAAATGTCCAAATCGCACATTTGCATTGCAAGTCGCATGCTTCCCTTTGCAATGAATGTTTTGTGATACAGCAGTGAAAAGTGAACTACTAAATGCATGAATGCAAAATGTAGTAAAATAGATTAGCAATGCAGAAAAGGAGTACAGTAAAAGTTTTATGTGCATTGCAAGTCGCATGCTTGCCTTTGTAATGTTTAATTCAAGTAATGAATGTTTTGTGATACAACGGTGAAAAGTGATTTACTAAATGCATGAATGCAAATGTAATAATATAGATCAGTGCACAGAAGTGAAATGCAGAAAACGATAGAGCAATACACAATACAGTAAAAGTTCATTAGAAATGTCCAAATCGCAAGTTGTAATGTTTAATTCAAGTCGTGGATTTCTTGATACAGTAGAGCAGCGACTGCTTGTCTCAGATCAGTTATTCATGCAGCTGTGTAAATATCTGAATGCTCCTGTATAGAAGCGGCTCTCGGTGTCGGTGTAAGTGTGTTGGACAGGCGACGATCTCGTTCTCTCGGGCAGCTTTGCTGAAGTGAGATGAGAAGGTCCCGTCGGCCATGAGATCGTGATCTCGGGATTCTCCAGCAGTGTTTCAGCTTTAGAAGACCACAGTGAGAGGTTATAAGAGGATTAATGCGGATGGATGTATTGGCGTATGATAATGAGATGGCGTTTTAGGGGTGAAGGGAGCCGAGGGTGAACGGGTCAGGGCGATCAGGGCTCGAGGTCAGGTGTTATGTATAGTTCACGAATCAATCTAATCAGCCTTTGTGTTTCAGCGACTGATCGATCCCTTTTCCTCGCTTATCCAGACTTAAATTAGCAGTTTTAATAGGCCCTCATGTCACGATTCATTACGATATTATTGCGATTCGCCAAGACATATGATAAAAGGTTAACAAAAAATGTTCTGTTGATTAAAATGCTAAATTTGATGATAAATTTGGTGCTGAAACCCAAAGCACAGGACAATAGAGACACTATGATAAACAAATGGTACACCAGAATAACAATATTCATGATTTTGAGTTATTTGCTCGCACTGACTAGATATAAAAGATATTTGGCATTATCAGGAGCCACAAATATTCCCCCATTGCATTATTATACATTATATTCAACATTATATATAGTAGTACTGACACTAAAGCTAAAAAAATATATATATATCTCACACAGTGATTTTTATTTTGGGTAAAATATCTAATAAATGCATATTAAACTCTATAAAATGAAGACAGTGGTTTCTCTCTCTTTCTCTCCTCCTGAAGTCCGTCTTTGTCCTCTTAAACCCCCCGTCTGTTCAAGAAGCAGCTCAATACCGTATCAGAGGCTCTTATCATGTCCACTTCATGACTTCTCTCTCTCTCTGAGCTTATGTGAGCATTAAAGTCTATGTGGTCTATAGGTCATATTTCACCCCGAAATTAAAGGAAATATGAAATGATATTTTGCACCGTTGAGACTGACATTATTAAATGTCATTATTTTCATGACATTTCAAAAGCCTAATTCTCATTACCGTAGTGCAATTATGATATTATTATATTTCATGATATATTTTTAATTATTTAGCCAATCATGATGGTAGCATTTATATCAAGATTAAAACATCTAGACTTAATGGTTTTTGTTATTGAATTGTTAAAGTAATTAGACTATATTTGCGTTATTTTATTGAGAATTTCTGGGAAAATGTGCTTAACTGTATTAAATCATACAGTATCATATGATTTTGAGACGATCTACAAAATCATAATAACTTAATGGCAGACATAACAAAATCCCTTTATGTAAAATGAAGTTTTATATTCTGGGGTGAATTATGACTGGAGTTATCAAAATTACTTTGATTTGGCTGATATTGAAAGTAAAAAATAAAATGCTATTTTAAATCTTTAGTTCAAAAATACCAGTACACTGTTAATAAGTATTAGTATTATAGAACAAAGATGTTTGGACTATATGTTTTTACAACAAAACACTATTTCAGTCTTCTTCAAAATTTCACATTTTATTCAATGTTTTACATAAATCCTACACCAAATTTTGCCATGTTGAGCCTCATTTTACTGTACATAGAAATATCAGATTTGATTTGAAGTGTCTAAAACTTCGAGCTTCATTCTGAGTTGTGTGTTCATGACCTTATAAGACGTGTGTGTGTGAGACAGTGGCTGTTTGCTCAGAGCTCAGGCTGTATTTGCTGTGAAGTCCTTCATCATGGATCAGGAGCTGATGAAGAGATGTGGACGTGATGTTTCTTTAACAAACGCTGCTGTTCTGGGTTTAAACGCTCGGCTGTATTGATTGTTTTATTCTGCTGACCATCTGCGTACTGGACTTTCTGCAGTGGAGCGTAGAGCTGGTTTATCTAGTGTTGGTTAAGTCAAGCATCACTATTTACTGTTGCATTTAGTGTTAGTGTTTTGAACAAACCCCTAACACTACGTATTGAACTCATTCTGCACTGTTTGGGTTACATGCACACACACACTGACACACACAGAGAGCAGAATATCAAAGAATATATTTTGAATTGGACTTAGCAACTGCAAAGTAACACCCTGGCAACCACCCACACAACCCTAGCAACTGCATAGCAACATCCTGGCAACCCCCACCTTGCCCTACCAGCTACAAAGCAATGCTCTAGAAACTGCATAGCAATGCCCTGGCAACCAACCACAACGCCCTAGCAACTGCATAACCACCCACAATGCCCTTGCAACTGCATAGCAACTGTTAAGTAACTGCCCTACCAGCTGCAAAGCGACTCTCTAGTAACTGCATAGCAATGCCCTGACAACCACCCGCAATGCCCTAGCAACTGCATAACAACACCCTGGCAACCACCCACAATGCCCTTGCAACTGCATAGCAACTGTTAAGTAACTTCCCTACCTTCTGCAAAGAGATGCTCTAGTAACTGCATAGCAATGCTCTGGCAACCACCCGCAATGCCCTAGCAACTGCATAACAACACCCTGGCAACCACCGACAATGCCCTTGCAACTGCATAGCGACTGTTAAATAAATGCCCTACCTTCTGCAAAGCGATGCTCTAGTAACTGCATAGCAATGCCCTGGCAACCACCCGCAATGTCCTAGCAACTGCATAGTAACACCCTGGCAACCGCTCACAATGCCCTACCTACTGCATAGCGATGCTCTACCAACTGCATAGTAATATCCTGGCAATCACCTACAATGCCCTAGCAACTGCAGAGCGACACCCTGGTAACCACTTACAACACCCTCGAAAAACTGCTTAGCAACGCCCTAGCAACCACTCACAATTCCCAAGCAACTGCAGAGCAAAGTCTTAGCAACTGCATAGCAATGTCCTGGTAACCTCCAATACCTTAGCAACTGCACACTGGTAAACTGCTTAGCAACGCCCTAACAACCACCCACAATGCCCAAGCAACTGCAGAGCAAAGTCTTAGCAACGCCCTAGCATTGTCCTGGCAACCACCTGCAATACCCTAGCAACTGGACCCTTGTAAACTGCATAGCAATGTCTGCGCAATCACCCACAACACCCTGCAAAGCAACACCATGGTAACCACCCACAACACCTTCGTAAACTGCTTAACAACGCCCTAACAACCACCCACAATGCCCAAGCAACTGCAGAGCAAAGTCTTACCAACTGCATAGCAATGTCCTGGCAACCACCTGCAATACCCTAGCAACTGCACTCTTGTAAACTGCATAGCAATGTCCGTGCAATCACCCACAAGGCACAACATCCTAGCAACTGCAAAGCAACGCCATGGTAACCACGACACCCTCGTAAACT